AAATACCACAAGCTATTTATGCATACCAGCTGTTATTCCAAAAAATGACGAAGAAGAAGTAACGAGGAACATTGACGCTACCAAATTAACAGCCCCACAATTATCCATATGGTGTCTTTTCGCAGCAGAAAACATAGTCATTGGTGGTGTCAAGGACCTCAGAGGAGCCTTGACCATCAGCGAGCCGCAGACCACATCGGGGAAGTACATGTATAGGTACCATTGTCCACGTGCCCGATGACACCACTTGTTTCCTTTCGATGCCATTATGCAATGTACCCGCACTGCCCGACCCGGAAGAAGAGCTGTACTTATGAACCCTTTGGCCCACCAACTTTTGCCATTTCGGGACATTTCTTCACTCCACTTCTCTTTGCAACGTGTCGTCGATTACCGAAAATGGCTCCTCCAACATGTGACCAAAGTAGGTATATATACATGGAGTGGGCAGCATGTGACGAGTAATCCGCCATATTTGTAACGAACACCTTTTATATACGTGCCCTTCAGAGCAGACGTATCGTATTGCAAAAAGGCTACTACCCCACCTCCCTTATTTATACATGCATCGTGTATACATGAAAGATAAACTTTGGAATAGACAGGATTGGAACGTTGACGGTCCCCTCCCGTCCATCATGGGATAGAAAGGGCGTTTACTCAGACGTACGTGCATGTTTATATACGTACATGTAAATGAAGATGAAGATAGATTGCGAAAAAACAAATGTTTGGTTTTATGAATCTCAAGAGTTATTTTTAGTTTTAAAATGAGCAATAATTAATCTCAAGGTTCAATAAAATCGAAAACCTCTTTCGGCAATTTCCCCTCGAAATACATAAAAGGAGGAAAAAAAAAGAATTTTCAGCGGAAACATTGTATTGTCATTATTCTCGATGAAGAGGGTATGGTACTTTAACGTATTTTCCAGCAATTAGAAGTAACTTTTATAAAATTTATTTCATTCAAGAGTATTCGACTAGTGATTGAAAAAAGAAGGAAAGCAAGTCACGGCCTAATCATTTTGACACAGTTAGTGTTTACCACCCAACGGATATTAAAAATTTCAAATTAATGATGCCTTTATGGACCCCCTTTGGACTTTTACCCCTGCAACATCCTCTTTCAAATTTCTCTTCAATTTTTGTAATCAAAGACCTGTCAGATCAATACTTGATTAATACAACAAAATTTTGATTATCAACTTACATACGCATACCCGATCCCACGATGCATCGCTGTTGCTCATGTTACCCCCACACCCCCGGTTCATCTCACCCCCTATTATTTTCCATCCTTCCTACTCTTGGCACATCCCTCCCAAAAGACACACACGCACAAACCCATATGTAGCCCCTCAAGCGCGTCGATGCCGAATGATAGCCCCATTGACGCTTGCCCCGTACCATTGGCTAATTGAAAAGCGAGGGGAACGCGTCGGCTCCGATTGGCCGAGCTTCCCAACCAAGGGGGTAAGAAAAAAAAAGATTATGTGCGTATGTCACACAGGGGGGAGGCGCGTACACTCTACTGCTTCCCCGTGCGTTCAGGGGTGAGTTTTGCTCGTGTGTCAATCTATACATATATATACGCACTCACACGCAAACATATTCTCGATTGTAGAGTATAGGCACTCGAGAGACTGGTTTTTTTTTTACTTCGGAGAGTGAAAACAGCTAGATAGCGTGTGTGTGTGTGTGTGTGTGTCACAGCGACGTACAAAGAGGAAGAGGGATGGGGGCACAAATGAGATTTTGTATGTATTCTACATCAAAGCTTTACTTTCGGGGGGTGAGTTGCAATGGCCGATGCTTGGAAATGATGGAATGCCAAGGAGACGAGAATCGAGATTGGGAACGGAAGGAATTATTTATAGTTGAATCTTCGATCTGGAGTCGCTCCGAGACACCTCAAGAGTTTCCAAATTATGGCTTAAAAGTGCTGAACAGAGTAAGTACAACGAGCGTTAAAATTATGGAAAACTTGAAGCTGCAGCGTAAGACATCACTTGTGGATCTGAAAGAGAAAAATCCTGGAAAAATGAAGAATATTGCAAAGTTCGAGGAGACGAGAAAAGAAGGACGGTGCGCCCCAGAGATGTACGTGCAGGGATAAAGAAGCTCCACGATACTGCCAAGTGAGGTGAGTATAGCTAAAAGAGGAGGCCAAAAAACAGGGATGTAAAGTACGGGTGGAGGAGGGTAAGTGGCTACAAAGACGTGAAAAGCGCGGAGGCTCGCATCATCGGCAGGGTATCGCTTTCAGGACTAATCCGCTTACGCGCGCGCATTGGATGTGCTCTTCTTTCATTCTTTCGTAAAAAACATCGTCTTTGCCATCCTTCAATTTTTTTGCCCCTCCTTCCCTCTATTGGGGTATATCGGACGATCTCTTGCAGCTCGTATCATGGGTGTGTGGTAAGTGCCATTGTCGTCGCCAGTTTTGTGAGAAAACAGCATTTTCGACGCTCGAGGTGCCGACTCAAGCGAACGTGGATTTAACTTACTTGGCCTATTGTATTTTCTCTACTTTTTTCTCACATACATGACCAATTTCAGAAAAATTATGTGTCGTAAGGTTAAAAAAAATGAAACTAATGTCTAAATGAATACATCAACAATCACATTCGGTCATAATTTATGCGCTTCACGAGATTAGTTATGCAATAAATTAAAAATAGTTTAAAGTAACTGTATCTTTAGTCTAATAATTTTTTAGACCATTTTTCATAAATTTTAAGTATTGCTTGAAACACCAAGTACTTTCAAAATTTGCAGGCAAATTGTGAAAGTGCAATTTAAATATTTTAAACATTTCAACTAAAGTTCTTGAAAATATCAGAGCTCCAGAAAACTTTTGAATCCCGTTGAAATCGAGGAGAAGACATAAGATGGCATTTTGAAAGACTTTCGATCAGGTCAACGAGTGACATCAGAACTACTTGTTTACAATACTTCCTGTGACGACGAGGGAAACTATACACTTGCCGAGTCAAATCTGGACACAAAGAATATACTACTTCTGTTTATGTCAAAGACACAGTGAGTTAAGAAACACATGTACTCTTTAGATTTATTCAATGCATTGGTTTTTTACTTTGCTGGTTAAAAATTTTACGTTTGCAGAAAAAATGAAAGTCACCTTCGATGAAATTTATTACGATGACTACTACCAATATAACAAGAACACAACATTCAAATGTATAGCCAATGGCTTCCCTTCGCCTACATTGTACGAATTGTACGCTGGTGACAATATAACTTTAATGTGTACTGCTACGAAGTACGAGTATGAATCTATCGAGTGGCAGACAGAAACTAATGAAATACCAGGTTGGTTTTAAACATACTTTCTTACGAGACAAAACATTCCACGACATGGTTCGTCCAAATACGAAACTAACTCGCGTCAATTTTTAGAATCATGGAGCATCACCAGTGAAGACACCATATATACTTTGCGCAAATTCCTCAGAATCAAAAACGCGCAGAAATCAGACGAAAATTACATCCCCATCTGCCAGCCAAACCCTCACAATATAGAGCAGGACAAGCTTACGTTATATCCCTTTCGGGTAATTATACACGTTGTATTCCAAATCCCGTTCGTTCGAATATTGTCGTTCAGTCAAAGATCTTGACTTGAGAAATAAACCATACATATATATGAATCCTTACGAGTTGCATTCAAAATTTTCTGTAAAAATTATAAAAATGACAGGCATATTGTGAATGTTAGATCAATGGTATTATCAAACTGATTCAATTATATTTGTGTAATTTTTAAGTGTCTATTAATTCATAGATCCGGAAAAGCTTAGATTTACAAAAGTAAATTTAAATGACACTGAAGTAATCCTGTCCCGGGAAGATGCTCAAAAAGAGATTCAATTATACTGTTACGCTGAAGGAAAACTAGAACCCGCTATTACATGGTTTAAGGACGATGTACCTTTGCAATCGTCAAATCAGTTTAATTTAGAAGACAGTAACCAAAAGTTGGTTATAAAATACCTTTTAGAAAGTAACAGTGGAAAGTACTCGTGTCTGGCCAAAAATCGCTTCGAATCCATAGAAAAATCACAAAAATTCCTTGTTCAAGGTATTCAATAATATTTTTGCTACCAAGTAGGCCTCAGTACTTATCAGTACTTACATTTAAGATTTTCTACATACTAAATAATAATTTTTTTAATGCAGAGAAAGAAAAATACTGGGAGAACAAAAACTTTTCAGGGGATTCGGAAGAGCAATGGTGCAAGCTGGGATGTGGAAACACAGGAAAAGCGAACGTTAATGACTCCAAAAGATTATAAACTTATCCAGCAGAAAGAAAACGTTAAATGCTTTCGGCTGTAAGACAAGAAGGTAGATAAAAGGATGGGGAATAAAATAATAAATACAGTTAAAGGTGAAGGAATAAAGAGTAGTATGAAAATTTACAAAATGAAACTATAAATATCACTTAAAGTAAAGATGATAGATTTACGGAAACATTATGAAAAGTAAAATTTGAATGTAATAAACTTTTTTTTTTTTAATAAACGCTATAAACTAATTTTTCATGTAATAAGGTGTCTAATAACTTATTATGTCAAACGTTTGCACCGTTCAGTAAATTTACACAATTAAGGTTCCATTTTTTTAAGATTACAATACCCAGTAGAGTATATAAATTTAAGTTGATTGGTTGATTCAAAGTTTTATTAGTTAAAAAATTGGATAGCTTAAAGTATATTTAAAAATCAATTAATTTTGATGTTTGGCTGATTTTAATTCATAGATAATAAATATATTTTTAAAAAGACAAACTTTAGATGAGTGATTTTTAAGTCTGGAGTAAAAACGAGATATCCCTTGTATATTGGTTGGATGTGGGATATTCACCAGGAGCGAGCCCTACTTTTCCTACAGAGGGTTCAGGGACGTCCAAAGATAAAAAAAGTCTTCAAGTAGAAAAAATTAATTTTCCAAAACTTTAAATATAGTAAAGTCTATATTTAGTGCATCATAAGTCGTTTAACTTGATCTTTTGTATTCAAATCTATTAGAATTTAGTTGATAACAATTAGAATAACTAGTTTTTACAAGTACAATATTTTGATAATGAAGTTAGCTTATCCTGCTGATAATCGTTTAATAAAATAGTTAAGCGTTGGAGAGTAAGAATGATTAAATTAATTTCAAAAAGTCGAATTAATTCAGATAAATATGTAATCATAGAGTTGTATACTAAAATTTTCTAGTAATTACAAAATTATCCCAACATAATGACTTTTACCTGTAAGTAATTCGTNAAAATTAAAAAAAAAAAAAAAAAAAAAACAAACAAACTATAACTTCTCGCTAATTTAAACTAACATCGCAGCAGAATTGCAAGGCAACAGAGAAAAAACACGTGAATGTTGTGTGGATGATTTGAATTTAGCTCCGATAACGACTTGAATATACTTACGCGATCGCGTTGGCTGAAAGACATCCCTGTACTCGGTAACATTTGGTATCTCGAAAGTCACGTCGTCTTCCGGGTCGGTACCCGATTTGTCTTCCTCGATCGTTTTGACATCCATTCTGGAAGTTTAAGAATGAATCAAGTCATTATCATAAAAAAGTTATAAATTATAAGGCATAACAACATGTGCTACTAACGTATGCTTTTTCAAACTTGCAGGTCGCTCTTTGGAGAAACTCTTTCTGAGTGAATTACCGTAGGAAAACGGAGAATTCGACGTTTCGTTTCCCAAGGGTGATATTTTCTTTAAATCACACACGAAAACAACAATATTGGAAGCATGAAAACCGGCACCAATCTGTGAGCAAACAAAGCATCATACCTCGATAAGAGTCTTGAACTTGACGAAAAACAAAATAAAAAAAAGGAAGAGGACAGTAAATTTTCAATTCACCAATTGGTTTTGAGCAACTGCTATATCCTGAATTTTCCCCCAGCCAACCGGTACAGCGTCAAAAGTTTGCGCTGGTTCCCAGCCATAAACTTTCAACACGTCTTGGCATCCGGCGAAAAGACACTCACCATCCTGACTAAAGAATATACACCTGCAAAAATACCGAGTAGTGCGTTAAAAAAAAAAAATAAAAATAAGAGAGAGAATTTCTTCACACCTACTAATAAAAATGTGTATACAATGACTTTATAATCCAATAAATCAACGGCATGCCAAAGTAAAACATGTTCACGTTGTTACCTGACAGGGGACGCGTTAGCCTGTTCAGTGGAAGAAACTAGTTGGAAGGACTCTAGATCCCAGAAGTGCACGATACGGTCCGCGCTACCACTAGCAAGGAGGAATTCGTGTGGGTGGAATTCCACGCACGTCGCCGATCCCTTGTGCTCTGAAAATTCCCGCAACTGCCTACCGGCTCTCAGGTCCCATAGCTAAAAATAAATCAGTTTTTATCAAAACCAGTCCGTCACGCGCGTACAAATGAACCCACAATCGGATTATCTTGCACAACACCCAGCATTGAAAAGCTCACCTTAACCATGCCTTCTTCCCCAGCACTGGCTATCCACTGGCCGTCAGGACTGAACTTTAAACTATTCACTGTCCTGTCGTGGCCCTTGTATGTGAAAATACAGCCCTTTTTACGGATATCCCACAGCTTGATGGCAGTGTCTAAGCTCCCCGACGCCAGGTATTCGCCGTACGGGTGGAAATCCATGCAACGAATGCCCAGCTTGTGGCCCGTTAACGTGCGCGCTAGTTTCGCGTGCTCCAAGTCCCATATCTTCAACGCTCCCGTTTGCGAGCCCGCGCACACCAAATCTTCCGTCTGGCCGAATCTGACGCACTCTATTGGTGTTGTGTGGCCACTGAGGCTCTGAAATTGTTTGTTCGTACAATTTTTGCGAACTTTAATTCTGCGTTAAAATGATAGGTAGGAATAAAACAACAAAAAGTACACACCATAATACAATTTTGCTTTCCGACTGCCCATAGGTTGACCTTTTTGTCATCTCCTCCGGTTACCAGGACTCTTCCCGACTTGTGACCCAGTGACAAACAGTTGACGTTCGAAGCATGGGCTGGGAAATCCTCTGAAAAAGAAGAAAACAACGAAATGAAAGTATAATATGATGAAAATGGTCGAGCACTAGTTTTTATCGATATATGTATGTATATGTGTAGAGCAGCGGAAATTCAAACTGCACGACTCTATTTACATTAAACGCGCGTATGGTAACTTGAAAGACCTGTTATGATGTAATCATAGATTCGTCAAGCATCTCGCGAGTTTTGTTCTTGCTGGATGTTTGACACTTGACTGCGATATACAGCCATTCACAGTTGAGTGATTAAATATTGATTAACGATATCTTTTTCAAAGGGTGTATATAAAACAATGTTTGCACTCGTTTTTGTGACCATTAGTTAAGCATAGACTTTCTGTTTTGGAGTAAAAGGTGAATGATTTCTACAAAGGTATCTACAAACTACTTTCTAGAATGCATAAATACAAGCAAGTACCCTCATAATTTGCAGTGTAATATTGCAAAATAGATTTAGATAGGAGACTGTTAAGTGAGCTCTATTTTTACACGTGACACAAAATTCTTATATTACATTTCATGTATAATTATAATCATAATTATTATTGAACAGAGTCATGAAAGTAAAATAAGAGATGAATAATATTTCTGTGACAGGTTGCACCATATCTATTGGGCTGCAATTTCAAATGTTTTGATGTTCAAAATACTTGCTCATATTTATTGGATTATCAAGACTAGCTGAAGATTTATTAATTATATAAGGCAATATCGGAGAGTTATGAAAAAGATGCTAGAGTGTGATTATGCAACAGTGACTGTCAGGTAAAAACAGAGGCTAAATATAACGAAATTTGCCCAAGTGATTAAACAATATAGTACCTACTCATGACATAGATCGATCGTAGTCTGAATAATTAAATTTACACAGCAGCCATAAATTTTCCTTCTTTTTCACAAGTAAATGATTCACCGTTTACAAACTCTCTAATTGAGTATCTAAGAATAGTATTTTCAATCTGGACTTGGCATGGGAATTTACATTTAATAAAAACAAACCAAACAAAAGATTTCATGACCAACATTTAAATTTTGAATAAGACAAGTTTGCGGCAATACACTTGTTGAGTATGCATTGATAGAGAGAAAGAGAAAGGCAAAAAGTACGCAGACGGTTTTGAATGAAATAAATTCTTTTTGCAACAATAAATTGAATAGTTTTTATAATATTAAAAAGGCAAATAATGAATAATGATTATATAATTTTCTATATGCATACAGATTGGGTGAGGCAGTTGGTAAAGCGGTAAATATTGCCAGTATTAAAACAAAAATCATTTGATAAACAAAGATCGAGACTTATGTAGGCTTTTTGATTTATTGTTAAGGTAATGCTACCTTTTTTGGTGAATCAGTTTGATGAACGAACGATACTTATAAGCCTTGAAGGCATCATTGATATCATAAGCCATCAAAAGTTCAAAGCGATTAGGATCTTGACAACTGATAAGATTAAAGAAAAGTTAAAGAAAAGAAAAAAAAAAAAAAAAAAAAAAAAAAAAAAACGTTTAGCCGGTAGATAAAATATTGTTTCACAACTGCAGATAGTAATTATTTACTATATTTTTTTTCCTAAACCAAAATTGTCTACCTTATAAAAAAAAACAATTACTCGCGAAAGTCGTAATTGTGCACTTGACGATATGTTTAGCAAAACGTTGAGATAATATTATATCTATCGGTGTATACCTCATACAATGTAAGCCAATATACGTCAAACAGAAACGAATTTAACAAAACAAACAAACAAACCGCCCAACCGACGATAGATGAGGTGATGTTTGTTCCATCGTGCCTTCATATAAATACATATATGTACGTGAGCAGCTATTGTCTCTGCGTGCACACGCGATGTACTTATGCGCGCGCGTAAAAAAAAAAAAAAAAAAAAAAAAGCTAACACAATGCAGACGCGCAACTCGAGGGACGAAAGAAAACCCAACAGAGGCAGCGGACTCAAAGCTGATGTGCACGTAATCATCGAGATACCATTTTTTCGTTTGTCGTTTCGAAGACGTGCAATTTGTTAAAACGCTCTTGTCGCTTGCTCGAGTGCAGGGTTATTTTATAATATAGACGTGGACTCGCGATTACATGTTACACACACGCCGCCTTATGGTAAAAGAGTGGCGTGCGTATGTGTATCTATACGTAACATATTTGTACGAGAGACTACTGTCTTATTATGGTAAACGACAATGAACTCAGCTATTATTACTGTTATTACAATGTTAGCATCGCCGTGGACGCAGTTACCATCCAAGTAAAGATCTGGCCGCACCTTTTCATTTTACATATGGTATACAATTATAAGTATGAAGACTCTTTACTTCAAATATTTTCAGTTTTGATTTTTAGTGCATTGGTTGTACTGGAAAAGTAATTTTTTTTTTATTATTGCACGTTTATGTGTATCGAAAGAAAAAATAATTTCAAAATATACGTGTTTGATTACTATTGAATCAACTTTTTATTTTTTATTTTTAAATAATGCACTGTGAATTAAGTTGTTATTCGAAATGTGTCAGGTAATTTTATCGATTTCATGATTTATTTATTTCTTTTTTTTTNTTTATTATTAACCATTATTTTTCGTTTGTTTTTTTTACGACTTGTATTTTTATATATATAAAGTATAACTTTTTACAATACACAAACTGATAACGAGGTAAGTTATCGTTATTAATTTTAATTTCGTCTCGCGCAGACATACACCAATTTGACAAGATAGTAATTACCATCGTAGTATACGAGAATGCGAAAAAAAATGTTTTAATCATTAGTATATGTACCTCGGATTCCCACGAATGACATAGGCAATTTTGTTATCATGGAATTCGTGACCAAGCTCGTTAAAAGATATACGCACTGTATAGGCCATTTTTTTTTTTTTTTTTTTTTTAGAAAATTCAGTAGGTGCTTTACAAACGAAGGGGTCGGTAATGATGTTTGTCAGTGGGTGTGATTAGTTTTATTTTACAACTGCTTTTCCGCAAGCTATTTCGAAGTATACAACTAAAGGACTCTCCCCATAAACCTTCTACGATCAAACGCACTAGTTCAGTCTAAAATCTATGACGCTATTATACCTAAAACTAAGCATATTCCGTAAAATTAGTTAGTTCACCTTGTCGCCGCAGTGAAATTGTGAAGACAACTTCCCATTTATTTGTCTCCTTTGCTTTCGAAGAACTACTAAACCCGCATTAATTCTTTTATATAAAAAGCTAAAATGGGTCATTGGTCTCACAAGCACGCAGTTATGAACAAGTTAAGTACAGTTGCTGAATTTTCTTTCATCTCGTATACAATTATGCGACTTTATGCATTCTCGTAAGTATCATCGTTCACGTTTCTCTCTTTCTCTCTCTTTTGCACAGCAGTTGATTCTATCATACAAAAATATACACTGGACGGAACAACCTTATGTCTCGCACTTCTGGGAAACAGGGTACACTTTGATTCGTTTGATTTCCTTTCATACAACCATTATTTTTGCCAGTAACTAGTATAAAATGATGCGCTTCAATTATTATTGCTGGTTATACGAATACTAATTTTCTTTATTTTCTTTTAGTTAATAAATAGTAATTTTAATTAATTTAGATACAAAATTTTTAAAAGACACATTGATAATATATTTACGAAGCAGTAAATAGCTTTCTTGGAAGATTGTATTAATTAAGTCAAAGTGAGGTTTTGTTCTCTGGTTAAATGCATTTTTTTATCATCTTATTTGCAGAAAATACAAGTTTTGTTGATTAATTCGACTTTATACGTTTTTATTATAAGCTGATACATTTTCAATGAGAAAAATGATTATTTTCTTTTTAATATTAACGAAGTTCGATTTCGTAGCTTTTCAATTTGATGATTGACAAAGTGATTTGAAAATTACTGACTACCACATTGATCATATAATTCAATCGCTCAGACGAAGCTCATCGATTTTACTACATAATACTAAATAATTATTAATTGCAGTCATGTATTTCATAAAACTGTTTTTTGTCTTCAATTTATCTTTTTTCACATGGCTAGAACTATTTTTCCATTCCGGGTTCAATTTTTAGTCAATCGTAAAATTAAGACAATTATTAAAATTAGAATTATTTAAAAAACTGCACTTTATATTACAAAACTTTACAAAATCTAAGAGCCGACTAATTAGCTTATAATTAAAAAATGACAAAAATAACTAAGCCTTGCAATAAAGGTAAGTCAGTCGATGATGATATTTGATAAAATTATCATTGGGCCCTGTTTCGCTTTTTATTTATTGTTACTTATCATTTAAAATCTTTCAATTCTACTCGGTACGCTACCACATACTCTCTTTAATTTATGAGTACTCAAATAAAACTCATATTACCAATATTGTCAAATAACATCTAGCCTAAATGTTTTTATTGGTTCTTCTTTGAAAAAAAAAGACTGGAATCACGTCATCAGTACGTTACAATTTATTATCATTTATAAAAGTAAAATATCGAAACGTATCATATCAATTTATGCACATGTTGAAATCAATTTAATATCATTCCATCCATGAAGCCTCATGAAAAGTACACTAATACACAAACAGACTATTATGCACGAGGGAGAATGAATTTTGTTTTAATAATAATAATGCAATCATTTTGATTCGATACATTTTAGACACGGAAATATTATACACACCCTCATAAATTAGGTTTTCCAGAAATTCAGACTTTTTTCTTAATTACCGTAAATAATTTTATAAAATTAACCTAATTTTAACGATCAATTGAAGTCATACGTATTATTTACACCTAAAAATTAAACATATAGTGTTTTAAGCTACAAAAGAAGGTTGCATAGATGGAATGTGGTAATTTATTTTTGAATATGCACTTGGAAAATGTATCACAGAAGGATCATTTGAACGACAAACGCGTTAAAAATACTTCTAAAATAATAACAAAAATTTAATGTTGACATTAAAATTTCGACTGACGATTAATATTGAATAATTAAAGTACATTTATCATTAAAATACCGTAGGACATCAAAATTATTAACATGTATATGACAGGACACATTTTGATAGCATTTCACAAAATAAAACAAGACTATACATGATCTGCGACACATTTTCTTAGAACTGCGCAATCGATAATAATTAAAACAATGGCAAACACGGGTGTGCGCTCATAATAACGTTAAACTTAATAAAATTAACATCGAGTACCTCTTTCATTTCAGTTGATCGAAAAATTGCAAGCTTTGTCGATTCGACTCGCCGAAAAAAATCAAACTATTTCCAGATAGTCATCTTTTTCATTTCGTACTTACATTATCACTCATGAAGCACTGTCGAATCGGAATGCAGGACTTAAAAGACAAAACAAAGGGGAATGAACAAAAATTCAAATGGTAGCTCTAATCAAATCAACATTGCAACACTTTGCTCACACTCTCTCATTTGTACACACTTCTCTTTTTGTTCTTCTTTTCTTTTCTAAGAAAAAAAATACGAAAATTTTTCATAGAAAAATTTTCCACTGATCACACACCAGAGCTGAGTAGCGCAGTCTCTCATCGACCAACACCGCATCTCGACTATTCGACGAACAGTCAATAAATAACAATAACACTTAAATACAGTCATTGATCATCGCTACGTTTAGTTTGTTCCGAGGTTTTTTTCGTTTTAAGGCAGCTTTTTTTTACAATTAATTCTTCTTGCGCGCTTTCACGATTCACTATTGGCTTCCCTTGCATTTTTCACTCTTTTCTTCTATACGCTTCTTCGGAGCCTAGGAGTCTGATTGAGAGTTCAGTGAAAAAATATATTATGAATATATTTTGATAAAAAACTTTTTTTTCGGTAAGTACTGCTTTATCTTAATTTTTCTTCCACATCCTGCCGGACGATCAGCTTTCCACGTTTCACTTGAATATGAAAAATCGAACGAATCACAGCGAAGACGATTTGTATTTTTCTTTCTTTCTTTTTTTCATACACGATTAATTTACACAAATTCATAAAACTAAAATGAAAAAGCAACTCCTTTCGGTCGGAAATTAAAAAAGAAAAAATGTTGTTTAAAAGGGAATCGATCGGAAAAAGCCTGAAAAAAGAGACGAGGAATAATAATTCCCGTTCTTCCGATCAGATAGCGCGAGATTCGAAAATCATGTGTCATCAGGACTCAAAAGGCAAAGAGGAAGCAAGAAAAATGTTCTCAGGAGAGGCAAACCAATAATGGAAGGGGCCTCATCAGCTCCTCTGCAGAAGCACAACGAACGACTTGGGCTTATTGTCCGCACGAATACGACGTCTCGGCTGTGGCTGGGGTGCGTCAAGCTTGCCCGCACCGGTGATAGTCGGCCGGCGTCACTCGAGTGTCCTAATAAGCGTGCCGAGTTCGCGGAACATCGAGCCTAGCTTTCCCGACACCGATTGCTTCTTTAACAGGATGCTGCGGACCATCACCAGCTTCTCGTAGCAGGATATGCACTTGTGATATCTGCAATTTGATCGAGCGTATGACTCACGAGCACAGAGGCGCAAAGTGCCTTTTTTTTTTTTTTTTTTTTTTTTTTTTTTAGTGGGATTATGTAAGAGTTGTTGTTGTTGTTGTTATTGGAGTTTTGGTGCGGGCGGCTTAAATGGCAGTGCAAAAATAAAAAAGTGCATTATTCATCCATTGGGTAGGTGGTGTTGTCACTTATGATAATAACATATCAAAATAATCGTCGCCCTTGACAATGACACATCAGATGATTGTGAATTAGAATGCAAGTACACACAAACATGGATCACAAGAAAAATTTTATTTCATTAAATCTCGTGGTTAAATAATCACTTTTTGTTGTACTGAAAAAAGATTTTGTGAATTTTATAAATTTTGTTTCTTTCTTACTGAAAAACTGTACACTGGTGGGGAAAAAAAAAAATTATGAATAAAATGTTTCAAGTATGCTATGAAATTTTACAATATTCTATCTACGCAAAATGTGTGCATAATATTTGTGTATGATTATTTATCTTTTTTTATTAGTAAATTCTAAAGGTATTCCGCTCAAAATGTATATTTCTTAATGAAGAGTTATGGACATTTTTATGTCGATTTTTCAGAGTATTATTTAATTAATTATTGTACATAAACTTTTTGTTTAATAGTAGGGTTTAAAGTATTGGGTGATCTGCGTATCTAGCAGAGTATAAAATGTTTTTTTTTATTTTAAAATGAATTCTGAAACGAGAGTTCACCTCAAGATTTAGCAAAATTAAAAACTATTGTTCCATGATCTACTTAAATGTACCAGAAACGGAAATAACGTACGCTCTAAAGTAAAAAGTAAAGAAATATTATCTGAAATAGGTGAATTAGCATATTAGTTACATGCAACAGTTTGTCTTCCTNGTGAATCAGTTTGATGAACGAACGATACTTATAAGCCTTGAAGGCATCATTGATATCATAAGCCATCAAAAGTTCAAAGCGATTAGGATCTTGACAACTGATAAGATTAAAGAAAAGTTAAAGAAAAGAAAAAAAAAAAAAAAAAAAAAAAAAAAAAAACACAAGCCCCAGCAAACATTGTTAAGTTTTTTTATCACAGCACAGCTTAATATTGACGATCTTTTAAGCCAAACAATAAAGTCCAGCCTCCAGCGTTTTTATACCCCCTCCAAGTTCAATGCCTACGGCTTGTCTTAAAACAAAAAATCAAGTAGTTATTAAATTTTAACGAGCTCGGCTGAATTTCGACGTAATGTCGATTTTTTTCACGGTACATCAAGCACACGGCTAAATTAAGGATATCTCGCCCGAGACAGAGAAAATCCGGTCTCTCTCATTAGCAATGCAATAGATTTCAAAACGCCGCAGCGAAATAAAGTTGCAAGTAATTATATATACTTCGCAGGAGGAAAAAAGAAGAAAAACAGTATGAGTAAATGAAGAAAAAAAAATGTATATATATACATATATATATATGTATGATTCGCACGGAAATCTATGAAGATCTCGAGTATAAATGTAATGGTGCGTTTTACTAGCAGTCCCTTGGTCATAAATAAGTCGCTAATACGATCGTAAACAAACGTCTTTAACTTTATGTATATAAATATATGAAAGCACAAAAGAGAGAAACAGATAATTGTTGCTTGCAGTTGGTTGGAAAATACTTAAGTTTTTTTGCTTCGAAAAGATCAAACTCCCTCGAAACACTTAACAGTTTTAAATAAGTATCGTTTAAAAGTTGATCAACACTGAGAAAAAGTAACATTTCCATTATAACAATGATGAAAAGGTATAGAAATTTAAAGACTTTGAAGACCCTGACTCGAGTGGGATGAAAGGAGAGCCTCATTTGAAATTCATAGGTGTATCATGGCAACAATCATAAATGGGAACGAAAAAAGCTTGATTTCGCATCACGCACCAATTCCCTGCAAAATAAATAAGTTTAGCATAAATCGATGTGCAGAAACAGAGAGGAAAGCTTGCTTTGTTAAAAATTTGAATGCTTGAAAGCCCACAAAAACCACAAATTAGCGCTTGGAAAAAAAAAAAAAAAAAAAAATCATGCTCCCACGAACTATCCAATATTTGAAAAACCGAGCACGCACGAAGAGTGACTCCGAAAATCAAGAGAAAGAGAGGGCGAGAGATGTGTTCTCAAAGAAGAAGGCCAGCGAGTGAAGCATAACGGATAAGCCAAGAAACCTTTGCTCGGCTGTCTCACGAGCTAAAATAAAAAGAAGGCTACCCGATACTTGTGTTTAACCCCCTTTGACTGTGAAAAAAAAGAGTCACACTCTCCCCATTAAGAAAACCCGTTAAGTAACAAGTGCATCTGTACACTTGATTCAAATACAGGTATGCGTAGAAGAAAATAACAAAAATACAATAGCCCATCTTAATTAGAGCCAGAGATCAAAGACACGCAAAATTAGAGTTGGTTAGCACAAAATAAATACATGGCTAGACATAGGTATATACTTACGGAGTCTCCAGGATCTCCTCGTAGACGAAGCCATCTTCGACGACGAGGATGACGACGAGGAGGGCCCAGGAGGACCTCGCATCAGAGTGGCTGCTGCTGCACGCGTGTGTGATGATTATGGTGATAATAACAATGTAACAAAAACATAAATATAAACTAACACGCGCGCACACACATGTAGGTACGTTTTGACGCGCACAACCACCGCAACTGACACGACAAATTGAACTGAAAAGCAGCAGCAGAGTAGCAGAGAGCCAGAGGTATATAAGAGACACCGCAGAAAGAGAAAGAGATGGATACACAAACACACACACGCGCAAAGAAGATATCTAAAGAGCAGATCAGCTTCAGCTCTCCGAGGAGAGAGAGAGTGTGGGTATAACTGTATAGAGGATTTAGCTGGAGAGAGAGGACTTATTTGGCAGTGGTACTGTGGCAGCAACAACAATCGACAACTGTTGTTCACATCGTCGTCGACGTCGCTGTCGCACGTCGTACTAGTAAGCTGCACAACAACAATTACTCGTGCTGCACTGCTCCGTGTGATGCTGGTCATGCAGAGCTTGCCTCCTGCTGTACTTTTAATGTCTTGCAGTCTATAATTATCAACAATCGCCGTTGCTCCAACGGCAGCTGCAGCATCATCTTCTAGTCTATGGCATCGAGATGATATGGTTCTTTGGATAAAATCATCACAATTATCATCACCCTTAAATCGTCTAGATCCCCTATTTACTGTTCTTGCAAGTTAAAACGTGTTTGTGCATTGTAGCTTCGCATCAGAAGCATGTGGACTAATCGGCGATGACAACGTGCAGCAGGAAAATGTTTTCACTGTCAGTCTATTCAAAGTACTTAACTCATGGCATTCGTGCACATAAAAAAATACACTCTACACATGCACTATTTTATCCACACCAAGTTTATCTTTTCCGAAAGACTTGGGCCTGATGTGCTCTGTCCTGTAAGTACACTGCTGATGTGCAGTTGATGACCTGATGCTGTCTGCTGAGACCTGACCTGCGGGCCTGAGAATTAGGTAAAAAAAAGTGAGAGGAAGAACTACAAAAAAAACCTCGACTTCTCTTCTTATTCTTTAACAAACGCTGACAGACTCCCACTCTGTCTGCTGGCACTCTCCCTCGTCAACAACGGCAGCACGTATGTAGCGCAATGAAAGATTATAAGATTATTATTAAAATGTTGTGTATAAGATGATGGTTCACGATTCACGGATGCGGTGCGGTGCGGGGGCCTCTCTCTACTCACTCAGGCTGTATTCCGCAAAAGCTGCCTGGTAGTTAAGTTAGGTACGTAGATTTACCCATCCCCTGGTCCCTGGTCGTGTGGTCGTGGTAAGTGGTAAGTGGTAACACTGGTAACGCGGGTAACGCCGCATGGGGCAGCGCTAGCGTCAACCTGTATACCTATGTACTAACTGTCACTGTGAACTTTATAACTTTTGATATTGCATTTAAACTTTAAACCTTTCAATTTTTTTATAATGTGTAAAAATACACATGTTAAATGCAGTACTCGGTTAGTTGGTTGTAAGTTGTGGGACCTTATCTGGTCATCTGGACATTGAGACTATTTTTTTTTTTTTTTAACAACGCGTTTTTAATATTATTTTGTGCATATTTTAATTGCGTAATAGCGCTATGTATCGATGAAATATTTGCTGATGATAAAAATTTAAGTCTATGTACATATGTATTTTCACAAATGCATTAAATATACATTTACTAATATACATTTTATGTAATGGGTAAATTTTTTTTACCAATACTTATTAAATATTTCCATTTACGTAAACATACATATATATTCTCCTATTTATAATTATAATTACGTGTTCAAGTAAAGGTTAAAACGTCTCGACTCTCGTTCTCTTTTTCTTATCAGCTGATTCTACGACGACTTGACAGCTGATCGGCATTTTGCCGATCTTACGATCGTGGAGCATATTTAGGTATTTTATTACCCATTGTTACGTGATTGTTGTAATGAAAAACAATTTGTATTATACTCAGCTGTAAAAAAGAACATTATTATTATCTCTAGTTTTTTGTTATCAGTGTAAAAATGACAAGTTGTATTTTTAATAACCAATCAGTGAACATATTCCGGAGTTGCAAGAATGTTTATAAAAGTTATTGTACATACGTTCAGGGTCAAAGTCCTGAACCTCGAGTTAGAGAATACTTTTATTACATTGATCATCAAGGAATGGTGAGTTGAAAATTTTTTAAGCTTATATTATGTCCATTGAATTTTTGTTTATTTATAAATGTTAATTTTTAGCTTTTTCTCGACGATACCAAAATAAAAAATTTCACATCCTGTTTCAAAGGTAGTTACATCAATTTCTATGAATTATGCTTGAAATTTTTTTTGCAGTAGATTTACCTCGCTACGTTTTTTTTCAGACAAAAAATTTTTGGAGTTTTTTTTCAAAAGGCTAAAAAAAAATGACACCGACAGGTACAAGCGGTTCCCATATTTATCCTTATGTGGTAGGGAAAGGAATTTCGTGAAATGTGACGATCTGCCAATTGTTTTTACACAAGTATTGCGAAAACAAAACGCAGACACTAGTGAAATAACTTATTATTTCAGCTATAATCATGCACAAGATCTATTGGCTGTAAATTCAAATTTTATCTGTAATATTTTTGAAAAGATTTTCAACATATGTTTAAGTCCAATAATTTTTTGTTGCATAGGTTCCATTTCAACCCAACAAAATTTTTATGAGCCCAAATGGTCGAGTCTACCACCCAGCTCCTATAGTAACAGGTGGCATTGGCCTAGTTAAGTCAAGTCTAGCCATTGAATTTAGCTCACAATTTGAATTCGGAGAGGGTGAAGAAAGTGGACCCACTAAATTTCATTGGCAAGGAAAGGAGTATAAAATTGATAAGCAATGGTATACAGACAGAATACCACAAGATGAATTTTAAATGTTTTTGTGAAACTTTAAATTACTGTTTTATACTTTTATACTGTACAGTTTGAGCAAAAAAACTTTGTGGATTGGTAATATTATCTTTAATAATGTATAATCACTAAAAAAATAATGATTTGACGAGATTTAAAATGATTAGGATGGTGAAATTAAGGAAATTTATATATTTAAGTTTAGATTATTATTATATTAGTGATATATTTAAACATACAACCAGTGTAGTGTAGGCTATATCATTAAAAATGCATCCACATGTATAAATTTGTACATTTTTCACCTCGAAAACTGTAGCATAGAATTTGAAACAAGAGCTAGAAACTACAACAGATAATACTTGATATTAGTTTGATTGATGTAGTAACCAATACCAAATAAAAAAGATCTACAACAATTGCAAGTTTCCTGCATTTTCTGCATTCAAGTCTTATTATTATCATTGATATAAATTCCTTGAGTTTCACTTCAGGAATGTTTTGAACTTTAAGTAGGCTTAAGTTTTATCATCTAAAAACTTATGAAAAACAGTGAAAATTGTCAAAAAACTTACTTTTACTCTAACAATCTGCATAGAAAAAGACACATCTTGATTTTTGGTAAAAAAAAACAATAAATACTACAAACTTAAAAACTTAATGTAAACGTTGTAAGCTGTTTTGAGTGAAAGAATCAACGTGCATCATGTCATTCAACATAGCAATGTAATTGCAAGTAATAAAAGTATTGATTAAAAAACAATACGTCTTTTGTCAGAATTAGTTTTGGATAATCTTAGTTTCTAGGGAAAAAAGATCAAAGACCGTCTATTTCAAAAACTCGTGCAGTGGTATCATCAGAAGTTGTCAAAATCAACTTGCCATCTCTAAAAAAAAAAAAATGTTAAAATTTTTTCTCCAATCATTAGGAACATTGTTTTACAATGTACTTACTTGGATATACATAAATCAAGAATATCCTCTGTGTGACCTAAGAAAGTTCGCACACAATTTCCTGATTTTCCATCGTAACACCTTACTATTCCATCCAGACCAGCTGAAAATNTTTTTTTTTTTTTTTTTTTTTTTTTTTTTTTTTTTTTTTTTTTTTTTTTTTTTCTCACGCACTCGCGTCACCGTGACGAACGAGCCGTGCAAAGGGGACTTATTGTATACGTGCACACGCGCACTTATGCAAACTCTCTCTCTCTCTCTCTCTTTTTAAACGACGTGTGCAGCTCAAATCCATCCCCTCCGTGGCTCTTTTTCGTTTCTCTCTAGTAATCCAAAAGGGGCGGCGTAAGTTCAAATGTGTATGTTGCGATGCGCGTGCATGTATATGCAAATAAACGTGCGTCATAAAAATAACATTATCAGGTTCCAATGTGCACATACGAGTGTATACCATTGTATAAATAGGCGTACACGCGATGACGTTTGCGTAACGATGCGTACGTACATCCAGTGGGATTATCTGTCTTATAGTGTACATTTATACGTATGGACGGACAATTGATGTGCTTATTTATTAAAATATCGAGTATACATCGATGGATCTGTAATAGAAACAACTCACTCGCATTTACATTGATTACTTTTTTTTTTTTTTTTTTTTTTTTTTCCAATTGTGTGGTGACAGCACTATATGCTGGTTTATCCACGAGTATTATTAACAAATAAACTGAAATTAAATGTATATACTTACATCTTAACTCAAGTAAAATGGTAGTATTTGCAGGTAGAAAACATTCGTTATCAAAAACTTGCGAAAAAGAAAAAAAAATATCCATGAATCAAGTGAGTTGGGCCGAGAAAATTGCCACTCGTATCCTTTCCGTTTCGCAGCCGCGGGTAATAGCAGTGTTCGTTGTTTTTTTAATTAATACACCACCACACCAACGAAGAAGACACGAAGCGGAGCTCGAACGAGCCGATAACGACGACAACGATGATGATGATGATGAGATCTCTTTCTTTCATTTCTTTTCTTTTTTTTTTTTTTTTAATCGCACAACTACTACTGTTGGTGTACCATGTCTAACTGTGAAAACAATGATATACTCGGTTCCCCGAATCTCCGCGTTGTAAGTATATACGCCTTTCGCACGCGCGAATTCAATTAAAATGCTCCATTGTTCGGCACAGCGTATACATGAAACAAAAGCCGGCAACAACCTCCCAAATCTCGTTAATTATTAAGTGGAAAGTCTGCGGTTCAGCGCATCGTTTCATCAACCTGATCGGTAGTAGCGACAACAACGGGACGGGCGAATCTGCCGATTTGAATGTAACGTGTGCTGACCGGCTTTGGAAGCGGTTTTTCAAACCAATAGTAGTCGCAGATGGACCGTTTGAGAGTCGCGGGATCGGTATGGGATTTCCAGACCAACACCTGATAACTGTACAACTTGTGTAAATATTTTCTTCCCTCCGAGTTGCCTACAATAGATCGATGATAACAGAGCTGTCTGAAGCTCCTTGAAAAGTAAAAANAACAATACGTCTTTTGTCAGAATTAGTTTTGGATAATCTTAGTTTCTAGGGAAAAAAGATCAAAGACCGTCTATTTCAAAAACTCGTGCAGTGGTATCATCAGAAGTTGTCAAAATCAACTTGCCATCTCTAAAAAAAAAAAAATGTTAAAATTTTTTCTCCAATCATTAGGAACATTGTTTTACAATGTACTTACTTGGATATACATAAATCAAGAATATCCTCTGTGTGACCTAAGAAAGTTCGCACACAATTTCCTGATTTTCCATCGTAACACCTTACTATTCCATCCAGACCAGCTGAAAATAAAAGTGACGTATTTTCTTTCCAGGCAAGTTTTGCTACTCCACTTCCTTGATCAACTTTATGTCGCAAAGTCTATAAGTAAATATTTCAATTAGAAGCTTATTTTTCCAGGAAACTTATAAAATAAAGCTTTTTTTAAAGCTTACTTTTTTCGCGACATTCCAAATGAAAATTTCACCATTGAGAGTTCCAGTAGCCGCAATAATTTGTTTTGCATCCTTGAGGAAGGCAACCGACTCCACCCAGTTTCCCTGAGTATTTTTATTGCCACAAGCAGCTTCTTCCTCGTCGTCTTCCATACTTTCACTGCCTAAATTTTGCAGTATATTTATAACTTTTCCAGTATTAGCCGAACTAATTATCGTTCTTCCATCAACAGCAGATGATATTATTAGATTATTATCTAAATGACAATCCAAAGAGGTGATGGCAAGAGAGTGACCGGTATTCGATGTAATCGTTGCTGTGATTGCGCTTGCTTTCAAATCTATCACGCGAATTATACCATCTTCATATCCAACTACTAGCCGTTTACCTAGAAATATAAATAAATTTGAAAAAAAAAGAAAAATGAGTTAGAAAGAATTAAACTTAGTTCAAATACCATCTGGGAATAGACAGCCAGTCTCTGCTCTTTTACCAAACCCTTGGATGATCTTGCAATCTCCATCTGGGATCTTCCACATGTATATTTCACCTTCTACAGATCCAGCCAATAACACATGTGCCATGTGATGCCAAAGAAACCACTAAAAATTTTTTACAAAACAATAAAATAATTTTCCAAAAAACATTGGGAGACATTAAAATTTTGTTTTTAACGAGTTACGAAAAAATGAACAATGTCATTTCATTTGAATAAACAACTTTTAAGCATGACGATGCATTTCTAAAAATACAAAAACATTCAAACAACAGCACATACATATTTGGGCATGAGTAAAGTGACTCACCGTGGCATCACCCATGTTATAATCCCAGACCACTTTGGGATGTGGCATCTTTCGTACTTGAACAAAGCCGCTCATGTCTCCGGTGACCAAGTACTGATCATCAAAACTGAATTCGGCGTAAATAACGCTGTCTTTGTGATCCAAGCAATCCAAAACAATCTGTCCAGTTTTAATGTCCCAGACGTAGGCCTTGTCATCTTCACCTCCTGTCACAGCGCACTTACAGTCCTTACTTATAGAGCCGGAAAATACAGAAGCTGCAAATAGTGAACACTAAATCAAACTGTTTACTTATGTAGAAGAAGAATAGCACACTGATGACCCGTACTTACCCATGTGTTTTTCAAAAATGCAGACAGAATCTTCCCTTTCCATCACTTCAACAACCTCTTCCTCATCTGCCATTTGTTCACCACCTTCCTCGTCTCCATTTTCAGGCTCTTCTTCAACCTGATAGGGCTCTAGGTCAATTACATCTTGATCGTCTATCAACTCCAAATCATTGTCATCGATCTCTTCGACGACGTCCTCCATAGGTGGTGAGTTAAGTGGACTTATTGTTGATTTATTGACTTACTGTAATTAAACAAAAAATTGATTACAATAAATTAAATGAAAACCCGGTTAATAGAGGCATTGCAAAAATGAGCACGTGAGTGTGTATACAACACCAAACGTTTCAAAACGATTGTACAAAAAGTAACACCTGGAACCTGGAACTGGAGAGTGGACGATGATAGAGCACGAAAGTGCAAAGCAACTGAATTGAATTGCCAACTATAGGTTTTGAGCGTGTAAGAAATCGATGGAATTTCAAACCGGCAAGCCAAGGAGATAGTACAACCAACTTTGATGCGTAAATAAGTAAGTAGAGATAGTACACGCGCAACGGTTCAACAAATCAACAATGATGTGTGTATTAAAATTGTATTGTGATGCAATTAAAAACACAAAAAAGCCCGTTTTCTATATACGCTGTCAAATGGCACTGTTTGATCGAAAAGTGATGGACTCACACCGCCTTGCTCATCCGTTTTCATTTTTTATTCGGCGCATATACTTAGTATAGTAATAATTTTTATTGGCAAAACTTTGATATTCGGCGCATTTCAAGATCACACTGTCAGCGCCATCTAGCGTTGCGGATTTCGCGGGCTGACGCAAACTATTTTCTAGGGGAACCGTCTTGAAAAAGTCCCTAGATTCTAGGGATTTTTGGCAGAAGTAAATCACTAGATATATATATATATACTACAGTAGGTCGAAAATCGCAAACGTTAAGGGTCTATTTGGGTATACCACACACAATATATTGTGTGCTTCGATCATAGATCGAGATAAATATCTCTAGAGCAATTCAATCAGCTATAAGCCAGCCGCAATTGATCCTCTTTTTTATAATAAAAAGTTAACATGTTTTGTGCTGTTTGCGGCAAATTTACAATCTATCTTTGACCCAAAAATCAACTTCCAAAAGTGTAGATATTCTACTTATATGGTTTAATACAATCCACCATATGGCATACTTAGTAGTGATTAAGTGATGACTATAATTACTACACATCATTTCACGTATATCTTACACCGTGCTCTCTTTACCAGAATATTAAAATCAGTAGGCTAAAAATCAAAGACGTCAAGATAAACCCCATCAGTAGACCTCGTCGTCGGTAACGTCGGTCAACTGTCGATACAGCAGGGCCGATATTATCGTTGATGTACCGACGGTTGGCTGACTCGTTCGAACTGCAGGTATCCCTCTTATCTCGAGTCGACTGTCGGTACAGCAGGATTTTCAACGCTAGATGGCACTACACACAAATGCAATTTCGACTCGATCGACCGACGAGCTGTGGGCTGTGGGCTGTGAAGTGTGGAGGTCCAAGTATTTTTAGTATGCAATACTTATGCATGTGACCATCAATCTCGAGCAGTATTGTGTATTTCGAAGCACGCAAATATAGACCCTTCACGTTTGCGATTTTCGATCTATTTTAGTAAATTTATATATATATCTAGTGATTTACTTCTTCCGGAAATCCCTAGAATCTAGGGACTTTTNCAACTAAAGATAAGTAATGGAGTGGAAAACGATTGGTTTGGCAATTTTAATTATAAGTTTGTGTTTTTTTGCGATTCCCATAAGAGTTGAGCCCGAAAAAAATCTTGAAGATGTTAAGTTGTTTGAGGCTTACGTTAAAGAGTACAAGAAGCCGTACAAATCCAATCCTGAGGAGTATGAGAGGAGATTCGAACGATTTCAGGTAATTTTGCCGGGTTTGATTTTGGGTTGCAGAGGAACAGGTGGGCGATTTATTTTTGTTTGTTTACCAACAAACGAATCGAGCGTCTTTTTTTTTTCTTTTGCGTAATCGAAAACCTGTATAATTTAAATATTGAGGATTAATAATGTAATTCTTATTTTTATTTTTACATGTAATTGTAAGTATTGTCTTTAAAAACTGCATTCCATCCAATCGCAAAATATCTTAAAAACACACATACCGCAGTATGTATACAGGATTCATTAAAAAAAAAATCGAAACACGCATCATCAGCAGCGGCGCTCACTATCAGTTTTAGGATAAAATGCATCACATAGGTATATCTTTCCCTGTCGTTGTAGTAATAAAAGTTCGTTTTGTTAATTGTTTCATGGCTCCTTTACCGAACCAATCGCAGTCTTATCGGCAGCATTGCTCTTTACGACTCCGTTCGTCCGCTGTTCGTCAGCAGCTGTCAATTTTTCACTATTCAGCCTTAGGTAAGTCTGAAAATTTTGATCAACCCATATTGTACAAACAAAAAAACAACTTTATCACTCTTTTTTTCCCCAACGACAAAACAGAAAAACACTCACCTCCTCGGCGGTCTTCCTCAAATGCTCGAGGGCCGCATCTCCGTCCTGCCCAGCCATCCTGAGGAACAGCCCGTCCTCCTGGGCAAGCAACGAACGCGGCTGTCCGTACTCCACCACTCGACCGTCATCCACGACAACCACGAGGTCACTGTCGATGACCGAGTCCAGCCTGTGCGCCACAGTCAGCACCGTGCACTCGGCAAACTTGGTGCGTATCGTCTCCCTCAGAAGGGCATCCGTTGCTGGGTCGACGTTGGCCGTCGCCTCGTCCAGAACCAATATCCTGGCTCGCTTCACCAGAGCACGTGCCAGGCACAACAGTTGTCTCTGGCCAGCGCTGCGACAGAAAAAAAAAAGTAAACAATAAAAACCAAATGAATTGCAGATGAGCGTTTCGAAACGGATGGGTGTGGAGTCAATTGACAGCGAACCTCAGGTTTCGACCGCCGCACTCGATCGGATGGTCGAGGGGTACAAAGGCCTTGTGCAAGCGCACGTCCTCCAGGGCCGCCCAGAGGCTCGTGTCCTCGAACTCGTGGAACGGGTCGAGATTGTCGCGCAACGAGGTCGAGAACAGCACCGGCTCCTGCGGTATGACGGCTATTCGCTTGCGCAGCTCGGCCAGACGGACCCCGCGGGTATCGAGCTCGTCGATCAACACCTGGCCCTCGGACCTTGCCAGTCGAAACAACGCCGTGATCAAGGAGGACTTCCCGGAACCCGTGCGCCCCACGATGCCAACCTTGCTGCCAGCCTCGATGACGAGGTTAACGTCGCGCAACGCGAGATCGTCCTTGTTGTCGTTGTAGTGCAAACTAAAGTCCCGGAACTCGATACGGCCGCGGCTCGGCCAACTGGCTGGTGGTTTCGACGTTGGGGCCGCGCCGCTACTGATGCTCTCCTCCTGTTCCAACTGGGTGAATTGGAGGATCCGCTCGACGCTCGTCATCTGCGTCATCATTTCGGCGGCCTGGCGGATACCGCGCTGCAGCATGCCGCACATCATCATAATCTGGAATAAGTAGTCGATGCGGTACGTTTATCTTGGATGCATATGTGATCACATATATGGATTTTCACGAAAGTATGATGTCGTACCTGCGTGATCGCTAGACCAACACTACCAGCGTGTATGCCTGATCGGTCGGATCCGAAGACGCAGCCGAGGGTGACAAAAGCCACCAGGATGACGGTACAAAGGTCAAGCCACAGCCCGAAGGCCGAGGCTACGGCAATGTTCAAGAAATAAGAGCGCGTGTGGGCATCTTGGCGGGCGTCGAAGCGCCGGCAGGCCGTTGTTTGGCCCCGACTCGAGCGAATTGTCGCTAGGCCCTCCAGGGTCGCCGTCACGTGCGACAGTACCGGGCTCTTGGCTTATAATGTGGCAAACAGTGAGTACGATTCGATGATGATCGGTTGAAAAAAAAAAAAAAATTGTTTTTGCGATGTGTTGAAGCAAAAAAAAAATCCCTACCAGCTCCCTCTAGCCGTTTGATTCCGTAGGCAGTGGGTACGTATACGTTTTTCAACTTCCAGTACAGGTAACCAGTGAAGACGACGGCCAAAACGGACCACCAGTTAACGATGATGATTTGCGCGATGACACCGAGAATGACGGAAAACACCTCGACGGACTCGTGTATAGTAACGGGCAGAACCTCGTCCATGGCGCCGCTGTCCTTTGAGAACCGATTGAGAATTTGTCCTGAAACGAAGCTAAGTACGTGTATACTAAAACACTCTTAATACCAGTCGTACTATCGTAACGGTATTCCTGATATACATATTTTTTTTCTTTTCCTTCCACAGCATCGGTGAACAAAGGCACGAAAAATGCACTTACCAGAAGTTTGCTTGTCAAAAAATCGCATGGGAGCTTTCAGGACGCACGAGAACATCTCGTCGTGAATGGCCCGGCTGGAGTTCATGCAGAGCTTGTAGAGCAGCAAAACTTTGACGATTGCGGTGACGATGCAGCCCACGAGTACGAGGCCGTAAATTATCAGAGCCGCGTTCACGTCCAGGTAATCCAAGGACTCTGGCCCAGCGCTTAACGATCCGTTCAGCGATACTAGTCTCTCCGTTGTGTTGGGTAGTAAAGTGGCTACAGTGCTGGTCACGTTGGACCCTAAGCTGGTTGCAACAGTCGGCATCAAAGTTTTCGTCACATTGGATAATGATCTGGTGGTCGTTGTTGACCAGCTTCCGGTTACGTTTGGAAGTATACTTTGCATCGTGGTAGATACCAGAGCCTGAGTAGAGTTCAATATGGAAGTTACCGTGGTTGCGTTAGGCGAGACACTTGTTTCGGTCGCATTGGGAAACGAAACTCCAGTTGGATCGACTGGCATCGAGCTCTTCGTGGCGTCATAGCGCAACTCTTCCTGTCTCGTCCTGAATTTTTGCAGAAACCACAACAATCCGATCATACCCAATGCCAGGTAGATATTGAAAAATTTTATAACTTTTATATTGTACTCACCAATACGCAAGCCAATAATCCGAGCCGCTTCTGACTGTCTGGGCGACAACGAAGAATAAAACCGTGATGGCGATCAAAAAACGACTGTTTCCACTCTCAAAGTATCTCGAGAAAATCGAAGTCCGCATCTTCCCCTTGGCTATGAGCTCCGCGGTCTCCTCCGCCTCTCCATCCGCGTCTTCATCTTTCCTCGCGATGTTGTTCCCTTTGACTTTACTCTCAGTGGCTTCCTCGACCTCTTCATCCCCGGTTGCCTCTTCATCCCCGAAGATGTTCAAGGAAGAGAGTTCTTTTTCGGAAAAGTCCTCCAACCTTCCTTGAGACTCGAGTTTACCCTGCGCATCACAACAAGCCGTGTTAATTCTCCGGATTCGTTTTGCGTAGTCCACAAAAAAATCAACTCACGTTGTTGAGGAGAAAAATCACGTCGGCCTCCCTCAAACAATGTGCCTGGTGCGTCACGAGTATTCTAGTTTTCTCGCTCAGGTATCCGCTTACGCACACCTCAAAGAGACATCTACCGACCACCGGATCCACGGCGGCGAGCGGATCGTCGAGCACGTAAATGTCCGCGTCCCTGTACACGGCTCTGAAAGCAAAAAAGCAAACAATGGCCCGTTACATGTTTCTGCACCTCGTTTAAGTGTGTAACCAAGTGGGTTGCATACCTGGCAAGATTGATCCTGGCGCACTGGCCGCCGCTGAGGTTGGTTCCCCGATCGCCGACGTAAGTGCGGTCGCCGTTGGGCAAACGCTCGAGGTCCGTCACCAGAGAGCAGACTCGGAGGATCTCCTCGTAACGGGCCTCGTCGTACAGCTGGTCGAAGACGATGTTGTCGCGGATAGTGCCGGGGAACAGCCACGGTCGCTGCGAGGCGTAAGATATCGTGCCGTTGATCTTGAGCTCGCCACGCGAGGATCGCAGCTCGCCCAGCATCAGCTGGATCAGGGATGTCTGGTGGGCGAGTTTTTTTTTTTTTTTTTTTTAGTTTACCATTTGTTCGTTTATGTGTGTGTTACCAATTCTTGATTTATACGCGACATGATGTACTCGATGCTTTTATCGGAAAAAAACCCTCATGGTTCGTATAGTAAAATTATCAGGTAAACCACGTGATGTTTCGAATTCCGCCTGGGTATTTTCAAAAATATTACCAAGTGGTGTATTTTAAAGACCACGTGGGTTTTTTCAATCGAGCCATCTTCTTCGTATCGATATTCATAATGAACAAATTTATCGATTTTACAGATCTATCTTGAAACCGTGAATATGTATGTATGCAATCTCGATTTACTGCCCTTGAATCGTACATCTTTAATTTGGATTCATCCTTGAATAATAAATATCAAATTCACATTCACCATCGATGACTCGTTTTTGAATCAGAAATGAAAAATCTCGAGTCATTTCTCTCGATTTACGAATATAAAGATTAAAAACTTTTAATCCAGGGAATCGAAGTTTAAGATTTAATATGAATAACCAACAAAAACAGAAGTTTACAATTATGGACGGCAATTTAGACTACAGTAACTTGGTTGTGAACTCGTTTGATTTATCATCACGAGTAAGAGCAATTAGCATTAAAAAAAAAAATAAATAGACTCACTTTACCAGCGCCAACGGGCCCAACGATGGCGTGCAACTTTTTGGGGGCAACGTGAAGAGTAACGTCGTGCAAGGTATTGACGATAGAGTTGCTCGACCAGGAAGCCGTCGCGCTCTTCAGGGATATGCTTCCGTTGTCCTCGACCGACAACAGCGGCGCCTTTATTTTTACCTCCTCCATGAGCAAAAATTTCTATACCAGCGTCCATGCCAGAAAAGAAGAAAATGAACAAAATAAATAAACAAGATTTCAAGGGAAAAAAAAAAAAATGAAATTCTTTCCTCGTAATCTAATTGTCGCAATGGTTATTTAATGAAGCTTAATGATGCTTTAATGGAAAGTACCGATAATATAATTATTCAATTATCATATCCCAATTGTTATCATTAAACAGCATTTACTGGCATCTCCATTAAAAAAAAAAGTTTATCTTTTTATCTGAAAGAGTTAATGATCATTTTACTGATTCAAAACAAAATATTTTCACCCCTTGTTTACTTTTACCATTTAAATCTCAAAGCAATATAAGTATACATATAGTCTTAATGTTATACGCAGCCATTAATATCATACCTCGATGCGCCTGACGGAGACCCGCGCCTCGGCAGCATTGAATATGGCACGCGGATAGTTCCACGCGAGCATTATCTGGAGCACCGTGAAGTACTGGACCAACGAGAAGACGATTTTGGCCGTTATCGCGTTACCGACCAAAGCGTACGCCATCACGGTGAAGTACAGGCACGTGCGATCGATGAAGGCGTTCGAGGCTGTGTTTATACCGCGCAGGTAGGACATGGACGTTATCACGTCGATCTCGTGCCTGTGAGCGTGAATTTTTTCTTTTTGTGATTATTACGTATAGACTAAAAAAACACTCTGTCGCATTTTACGCGAGATCGGGAGGGTTGATGTCTTACAATTTTAGGGAGAGAGAGAGAGAAAAATACCAATGCATGTCGATGTTATCATCATCGTCACAGACGTGGATATTTACCTCACCTTCTAGCGAACGAGACGAGACGCTCGAAGGGCTTCTCCCAGGTGTACATTTTGATAACGTGGATACCCCGGATGATCTCGCCCATCAGTCGCACCCGCTCGTCCGTTCTCGTGGCTATTTTGGCGCGCAGCCTCGACGTTATCTTACCTACGTACACTGACAAACAACATCATACTGCGATTGCTCGTTTACAAAATATTGTAATAATTTTTTTTTCATCTCAGCACTATACAATTGTGCGCGAGGAGCTCTTCATCGTTCGTTCTCGGTATCTTTCAAGTGTATACAATCACTTATCTTGAGATTGAGAGGGAAAAAAAAGAAAGCGTGATGTAGCACACAATTAATTGAATTTTTTTTTTTTTTTTTAGCTCCTTATCACGCGAGTCGTGCAAAGAAAGATGTACAACGCGTTGCAAAGTGTATTTCAGAAGGGGACTTTTTTTAGTGCTCGGGTGTTTAGTTTTCAGTGGTGTGCTTATAGTGGTACCTTGCACGGGTATGGTCTCGAGGGTCATGAGCAGGACGCCAGCCAGAGCGGCCGGGCCAACGCTGCGCCAGATGAGATAGGCGATGAAGCAGCCCACGAGCGGAGTCATCCAGACGTAGTGCAGGTACATGAAGAGCTGGTCGAACCTGGCCACGTCGTTCGACAGTAGGTTGATCACTTGACCGGCGCTGCTCGACGACACCGAGCTGCTCGATAGCCGCACTACCTGCGCGCGTCGTCCATTTTTTTTTTTTTTTTTTTTTTTTTTTCGTTGAGGAAACATAATTTATTTATTTACAATGTTTTCGTACATGTGTGCTAATACATTTTTCGAGATAACAAAAAAAAGGATTTCTTTCTTACTTCATCTTTTCCTATCTTATTTGTTTACTCATTTTAATGGAATATATGGGAGACAGAGTTGTGTTTGTCGCCAAGTATTTTTTTTTTTTTTTTTTTTTTTTTTTCTCCTCAACAGTTGTAAACAGGCGAGTGTTTATCCGTCAACGAAACTAAATGACGTTTATAACGCCAATTTTCAATGTTTATACACTTTTGATGAAAAATCGTTGTTTACTTCAGCTCATTCATCATTGTCATTCAAAATCCTCCCCAAAAAAAGGTCTCGCGTTGAAAAACAAAATCTCTTCTAGTGGGTAACTTTAAATTAAATAATCAACGCCTGATCAGACGGTGTATCTACATTTTTTGTAAGAATTTTTTACTGCTCTTTTATTATAAAACAAAAAATCAAAAACTAAAATTTAGGTCAGTGTTTTGAATTCTATTGATCGAAGGAAAGGCTTATCGTGGATGTGTACACACACACACGTGCGCGCAAAATATGACTAATATGCCGAACATGTGTGTACTTAGCCACACATGATTAGCCGCCGTAAATGGCGGGACGCGGAAAGCTCCCACAGTTTAATGTACCTATACACGTGGGGAAAGCTTTGTGATGTAGACAAAAAGATTCAATAGCAGAGATAACGCGTTACAAATATACATTTTCTTTCATTCCAATTAGGCTACATCGTGAATTATTCGCTCAATTATACGTTCATACGTGAAGAGCTTATTTTGCGAATAAGAATTTTTTTTTTTTTTCCATCAGAGATAAAATACTGTGACAATGGGGATCTCATTTTGACGAAATTTTCAATTATTTGACTTTTAGACGAAGAACTGACTTTCAAAATTGTTACAGAAACATTTTTTATATTGTTTCTAATAAAATTTAATTAAAAAATAACTTTTTTTCATCAGTAGGTACTTGAAAAATGGCCCAACCGATCGTAACTTTTGAACAACGCATACAAAGGAAGAAAAAAAAAAAAATTGGTAAACTCATAGGACCAGGTATGATTGAAAGAAATTTCAATAAAATGAGTGATTTTTTTTTTTTTTAATGAGCAAGAGGAAGGATCTGACCAACTATTTAGTAGAGATTTTTACTTCTTATCGCGTGCCTTTATGGTACTTATACCGATCGGTTATTCTGTACAAATTTTCGTCAGAACGATCCTCTTGAGCAGCGAGAACGTGCCAAATAAAATTACTTGAAAAAAACAAAAAAAAAACAAACAAACAAAAAAAAACTCACCTTTCTGTAGACCAGAGACGAGCAGGCGATCCTCAGGCGCATACCGATCTCGAGGGTGCCGAGATCTATGTGGTGCTTGAGCATACCGTGCACGAGAGTCATCAATACCAAGGTACACGCGTAAAAGTACGCCTGGGCTCGAGTAGTCCCGGAATCGTGCTCGAAGTAGCCTATCAGATACGCCAACACAAACGGTTGCAGTACCCTGAAAATCGCATGGGCGATCCATATTGATTCCAAACTCGTTTTTTTTTTTTTTTTTTTTTTTTTTTGTTTTTTTTGTACCTCAAGCAGTTGAGCACTAGCATGTGCCCGGCGTAGTAAAAGTACGACCAGCCGAACGTCTTTCCGATCGCGTTGACGAGCTTTGGCTTCCTGTCGCTCTGCCGCGCGTTCTCCACCTCGTTTTTCCAGTGTCTACGAAAATTGGGTTAACTTTAAAACTGAAAAATTTCTTTTTTTGCACCCCAACCCCCTCCCAGGGAGTTAGAGATCCTTACTTTTCCAGTCGTGTGCCGAGCTGCTCGCTGAGATCGGTCGGGAGTGCGTCGTGGAGATCATCGCTCGTTAGGTCGCGAGCCGTTCCTCGGTAGATCAAAGGTTTTAGCCACCTAATTTTGGACGGTAGGATTTTTTTATTTTTCTTATTTTCTTGCATCACCAATTTTTTTTTGTTTTTTTTTTTTTCATGCATAGTGCACGCACGTGGAATCCCAAAAGACGTCTCGTATTACAAGCGAACGGTCGGCATCTATAGACATCTACTTGGCCTTTAATTACTGCGGTTTGAGGTTTGAGGGTCGATGTGACAAAGTCATCGGGTGTTATGACCGCGGATTGAAATTTCATAGCTTGTTGCTCTTAAGAGTGCTCTTTAATAAGTATATTCAAACGACTCATGTGTCTAAACTTTGGTTACATTTGCATGAAATCTGGTGAATATTGCAAATAATTATCATAATTATTTTATTTCTACTTAATA